ACCTTCTCTACTGCTGCTTCTCTCCAGCAAATTATGTCACCTTAATAAGGAGACTGTCTCATTATTTCTGATTTAGCAGTAGTCTGGAATATTAAATGGAGCATGCAGAGTTGAATTCCATTTCTTGGATACGACATAAGCATAGCATAGCTGAAACTGGAAAAAAAAGTCTGGAGACTGCCTCTTTATTTAGCTCTGCTCCACTAACCAACTGTCCAGCACTAGAGTGAACATAAGCAGGAACTTGGGTGTGTGCATAAGTAAACATTTTGTCACTGTTATGTACATTTCACACGGCTGAAATGAACTGTGAGGAGTCATTCGGCACTCACCACACAACAATCTAAGATCTGAGGAGGCTAAGCAAAATACACACTCTAAAAAGAGAAAAATTAGAATATGCAAACATATTTCAACACAACAAAACAAGTAGTGAGAGCAGGTGACTTCTTAATAAAGGACTTTTACAGACACAAGTGTTCTATTAAAGATTTTCTGGGGAGGTAACATATGCCGAAATACTTGTAATAATACTTCAGTAAATGGAAAAAATTACCATTTGCTTTGGGCTTTAAGCTAGGTCTTACAAGATCCAAGAGGCCTGTTCTTTGAGGCTGGACAGACTTCTGCACTCTGATAGGACTAAAGCCTCATATTTATTTTATAGTTAACACAGGTTTTAAAAAACAACAAAACAAACCACAACCAAAAGCAACCAACCAAAAAAACCCCAACAAATTAACAAATTTAAAAACCCGCTCTTCTCTAAGTTACACACTACAAACACAAACTCCAGTTAAAAACTCTTTACTATCAGAACTTGCATAAAGACAGAAATAATATAATAATTAGTCAGAATAAATGTACTAATAGCGGGCTTTTTTACTTCTATGGATTTAGTCCATATTAGTACTTAAAACTTCACTCTGTGAAAGCGAAAGCTTAAGCTTACAGTAGCAGCAAGGACTGACACAGGCCTAAGATATCAATAGGCAGTCTAGGTAAAAAGATCTTTCCCAAACACAAGGATGTTACGAAATTTTACATGGGCCATACTGGTTTATGACAGCTAACAGGTAAACCGGCCTCTGAAACATTTCACTAAGAGCATGACCAATTGCCTGGGGACCCTTGAAAACCAGTGATCATAAACTGATGCAGGCAGTTTGCAAATTCTCAGATGGGGAATTAGAAAAAACACCTTAAATATAAATAGCTCCCTGGGGCTTTTTGTTCACTTCCATTGATTTCTTTTGTGATATCCATCTCTTCCACCATCAGAGTAATATTAGTGTGATTGAAGATACAGTTAATCATCATTTGTACTTCAAACTTTTTACCTAGTTTCAGCCATTATATGCTTACATCTTATCTGAAAAACTGAATCCAACTCTATATGTTCCATTTAAGATTTTAGATTACAGCTAAATAAAAAATAATCCAGAGGGAATTTATTTTAAATTTAGCCATTCTTAAGCAAACATATTCCTAAGTGCTCTGCACCAGTTCAGCTTAAATCAACCAAATTAAGCTGATGCAACTTTTGAAAACATTCAGTGCTGTGCCCAAGAGGCTCAGCAGTTCCCCAAGGAAGAACAGGTGTACAACCCTAATCCTAATTTACATCAGTAACCACAGACATAACAACACTGCAAAGTTTAATACAAAGCTTACTACGTGGCAAAGGATCCTAGTAAGATTCCGCCTGCGAAAATCTCTTCATATAAAGAAAAAGAAACAGAAGACTACAGGACAGAGCAGAAAGATATGAACTCTATAGGCCAGGTGAAAAGCCAGGAACAGGAAGACATTGCAATGTGTGACTGCAAAACTCAAACTCTGGAATTCTTACAGGTCTACTAATATCAGCAACTTCATTTTGTACACAAACTTTATCAAGAATAAGTGAGATGTCCTTGAAATTTATACATGGCAGTTGAAAGCTAACCTCTATCAACTGGGGAGGGTAAGTGACAGCAAGGGCAAGTGACACCTGACTTTTTGTTCAAATTAATAGGACGTTCTCCCATTCTAGAGTTACATTTTGGAGAAACTATTTTTTATGGAAAAAATAAGTAGTCAAATCTTGAACACATGCTTTTTTGCTATAAAATTCTCATCAGAATGAATGCAGTGAAGTTCTCCTGATTAATGATGCTCATTATTTTCTCCGAGGATCTAGACCCAAACACTGGTTCATTAAGAACCATTCTACTTGCAATGACCACCTCAACAGCCTCAGATACTCTGACAAACTGTTTCTTCATTTGTACAAAAGATTAGACTCCAACATTTTTAAATGCCATCAGATTGCAAGCAGGACCCACCTGACACATGGTAAATCAGGAAGTTGTACTCAGCAACCACAAGCATGACCTCAAGGCACAGTAGTCCCCTTGTTTTACAGATACTGCAAGTATGTTAGCTAGAGGGTAAGTACCATATTTCCCTAAGGCTGCTTCAACTTTTACTATATATTTTAGTTCTATTAAAATTCTTATCAACAGCCACAAACTTCCAAAACCAATTATATTGGTAAGAAGTGCTTCATTCTCTGCATCACCCATATCCCCACAAGATCTGTTCTGGGAAGAAAAACAGTGAAAACTGTTAGTGTTAACTTAAGCAAGCATCCTCATACAGGAGTCACTTGTGGTTATTAACATTCTGGAGCCTCGCCAGAACAGCTGGATTTCAGGATAGTTAAGAAATATCCAGAATAGGCTTTCTGTTTGAAAGATAAGACAGAGCTATCTGTGTTACATAAAACTTTCCCATTAGCAGCTCTTAAGGTCTTCAGCATCTGCTGGGACAGTGGTGCCTGGATGCCTGACATTCTTAGTGTGCGCAGCATCTTTGGGGACAGTGGTGTCCATGGTACAAACAATTCTCCCAGCAGGGAGAGATCGCTGAAGACAGTGGACCTAGTGTTACATTAATCTTCACAGCATCTATCCGGAGTAGTGCAATACCGTAGCCATACTAAATAATATGTCACAACATCTGTATTGTCCACTCGCCACAAACAGTATCAAATAACATCGTAGGCCAACAACCCACCAAAATCAGAAAAAAAAAATCCAAACAGAAGATGCAGGCAATTTTATTACAGATGTCTGTATCTTCAAAGTCTACTTCTGTTCCAGGAGACTACAGTGTAAAGAGCCATTTCTTAAAAAAAACCCTACATTTTCTGCTCCTTAAAAAGGGCTACTCATCTTTTAAATCCATCATTTGTTTAAATACTTATTCTGTTAATCCGTTAAAATCAATACACTACTTTTTAGTCTTCATACCTTTATTATGTTATACTCATATAATGTAAATAAAGAACTCCAGTTTTCAGAATTAAAAATCCCCAAGATTAAGTCTCTTATTCAGCTCTTCCAGAGACAGGGAGGTTTGTGTGTGGACTGAGTTTTCTGCATTGATAAGGGCATCTTCAGTTTTTCACTATACTGTATCCCTGATATAACATTTCTGATCTCTACTTAGAAATTAATTCAGAACTTAATGTTTCATCTTACAGTATTACAACTAAAACACACTTTTACAATGCTGAAAAGTAAGTGCTTAACAACATGCCATCCACGGCTCAATATTTAAAATTTGGAGGTAGAGGCATTCTATATTGAGATTTATAAAACCCCAAAAAAACCTGCTTTCTTCAAGTTGTTATTTCTCCATTGTATAAATTTGCTTCAAGGACAGCATAGAAATCTACCTTATTAAGGGCCTTTATCAGCTTACTATCATTGTCTCTTTACATTTTCACCTGAAGTTTCTCCCGATCACCACTTGATTTGTCTAACACCCTCTAAGACTGACATACTAAACAGGGTACACTGGAGTATTTTTTTAAAGGACAGAAACAAGTACATGGTTTTCAGTAGAAAGTGATAATCCATGTCTGATTTTGAACAAACAGCCTAAAAGGAAAGAAATATGGGAGCAAGCACATTGACCTTTCTAGCAAATTAAGCACTAGATTATTTAAGTTAGGGCAAAACAAGGAATAAAAGTTACTGGTTTCACAGCAATTAAGTATTTAAGGCTATAGAGCCTCAAAAAACCTGCCTTGTCAAATAATAATACACCTAAGCAACTACACTAAACATAATGAAAAAAGGAAATTGATTTTAGACAAACCATTTAATAAATGTGGTTTAAAGTGAAGCCTGCCAAAACGCCTGTAAGGCCTGCTGTCTCGGAGGAAGTACCATGCACCTCCTCAGTTTATACTAATAGTTCTACAGAACCATTCACTTGTATAATTAATATTGCATAAATTAATAGCTGTCAAGTGGTGTGAGGACAGATCACCTGCCTTCCTAAGGTATTCAAATCAAACAAAATAATTTGTTTAGAAATTGACTAAACTGATCAACAGCTGTTCTACATTGTATCCTAGTTTTATCACCCTGCCAGAAGATTATGCATTAACTACTTTTCACAGGAATTTTAAGCTAAATTTACTCCAGAAACCATACAACATTAAAAGAAATGCAACCTGCCACTAAGTCAAGAAGTTTAGTTCAGCAGCACTTCAGGAAGTTTAAGAGTGGCTTGAACAGATCAGACATGCAACAAGGAAAAAAAAAACACCTATAACAAAACACCTTTACAACACCCTTACGAGTCTTATAATACTCTATCTTCCTGAGAAATCCCACATTTTGAAGTCCCCTCCTGAGCAGCTAGGTATGTGGTACCGCTCTAAGGGGTATGTACACATTGCCCACACCAAAACTATAGATTTTTACTCGCAAACTAGGTATATTCTGTAAATCACCTATTGGCAAGAGAAATCAAAACAGCAGGTGCCCTCCCTAGCTAGAGGGGTCTCAAAGTCTAGAAATGGAAGAGACCACAAGTGCAGAATTGCTCTTCCCAGTCTCTATCCAGCTGACACACATAGGTCTTCTGCGAAAAAGAGGCTCTCCAAGCCGGTACCTGTGGTATGCCACGGTTTTAATCCACCTATGCCGTTCCCAACTTACCTACTCTGCTGTATATGCAAAAGCTTGCACTGCTGGCAGTTCCTCCTCCAAAGGCGGCTGGAAGTCTTTTTTGGAGCCTGAGGGCTCTTAGGTTTGGGCTCTGCAGTTCCAATGGGCAGACACTCCCACCAGTGAGGCAGCAGCACGCAGAAGCAGCTAGAAAGTTTGCCACAACCTCTACCTTCCCCTGCAATTTTCTCCTCTCCCAACCTCAGCGTCTTCTCCTTCCCGGCGAAAGGGACGGGCGTTAAGGGCGTCGGCGGAGGCGACACTTCTCGCGGAGGTTTCCTGCCTCAGCAGTGCCGCAGCTGGAAGGGCTCTCCCGCTGGAGGGCGGCTCCGGGCCGGGGGGCGCCGGGGGCAGCGTTCGTTCGGGGTTGCGGCCGCCGCCGTGTTTGCCGCGAGCCTCATGCTCGCCGCGGTTCTCCCTGACATCATTCATTCTGCTACGCGCACGCCCGCCCACTCCATTTCCAAGCCGTGACTCACCCCGGCGCTGCCGCCGCTGTCCGGGGCAGGGCCGGCCGGACCGGCCGGACCTCTCGGAGCCCCCGCCCGCCGCGCAAGGTGCCGGCCCCGCCCGCCCGCGCGGCCCCACCGACGCGCGCCTCTGCGCGCGCGCCGCCCGCCGCCCCCTCCCGGCGGGGCCGCGCGCCCGCACCGCCCCGGCGCGCGCCTCTGCCGGGGCCGCGGGGACTCGGCGGGGCCGGGCTCCCCCCGCCCCGAGCCCCTGTACCGTGCCCGCCTGCTCCTTCCCTCGCACGGCTCACCGCCGGGCAAGGGCCACGTTAGTCCGGGAAAGGAGGGTTCCCCTGCCCCACTGGAACGCCTGCTACGGGAAGGGCACCGCCCGCCCCGGCAGCCAGCACGGGGACAGGTGCCGGGGCCGCCCCCGCAGCCAGGCCACAGCCGAGAGCCGCCGCCCTCCGCAGCGACGGGCTTCCCGGTTTTGCCGGGGGATTTGATTTCCCCAACTGCTCACATGACGGATGACTGTCACTGAAAGCCCCTGCTTCTCAAGTCCCTTCCTCTGGACCTGCCTTTCCCCGGGGTTTTGGGTTTTTTTTGGTGGGGCTTTGTTTGGCTTTATTTTTTTTTTTTTTTTTTTTTTTTGCGGTGGGTGGAGGGGTATTTTTTCGCCCCCCTCCCTCTTTTGTTTTCAGAAGAGTTCCCCCATCATTACGTAGCAGCCAGATTTTGTTGGGAGTTTTCCAGTGTAAGAAACACGTGATTGGCGGGGGAGGAAGGGAGGGGGAAGAAGGTGTCTACTCATCCTCACCGAAACTCGCTCTGGCCGATACACACCTGTCCTGCCACACTCACCCGGCTGCAGCGCCCAGCGGGCACATGACAGCGCCGGCCCGGCACACAACCCCGGGTTCGAGGAAGGCACCTGACCCTCTGTTCGTCACACCCCTGGAAAGCCCCCTTCACCCAGCTATTGGCTATTCTGCTTGGGTTGCTCACACTTTGTTTTTTTCCACAAAAGCTTGGGGGAAGGGAAGAGAGAATCTGCTTTATTCCAGCACAGAGTGGAAAAATTTTCCGCACTCTCAGATTTCTGTGGGACAGAGAAACTACCCTGGTCCAATAGTGACAGCCAGGGCACTGCTACAGACAGAATGCCAGGATTTCCAAGTTTTATCTCCTGCAGGCTTAATGCAAACAGTCTCTTATAACAAGATAAACAATTCAGCAAGGGTACTGCTATTCCTGTTGCTAGGTGAATGCAAATACACACCTGTAGTGCTGAGCCAAAGACAGCTGCTGGAACCCCACAGCTCTCTTTCCTGCCACTGTGATCCCTCCCTCCAATTCTCCTAAGTGAGTAATGCATCCTTTAAAATAAAATCTGAAGGTTAAAAAAAAGGTAACATGGGAAGGGAATTTGTTTTTAACTGATTACAAAGATACCTACCTATGCCTTATTGCATACACAATCACATGCATGCCTTTGCAGAATCATATCATACTTCAACCTGTTATGCAGAGAGGATAACAGACAGAGTAACAGATCAAGAGTAGAAATAGCAATGCAAGTGTAAAAAAAAAGTAACTACAGGCAAAAATACATATAGGTACAGCAAAGGCTAAACAGAGGCCTCCCCTAGTTTTCCATACTAAAAAAAAGCCACTGAAGAAAGGTTAAGAGCAAAGACTGGAAACTTTACTGGCATTTTTCCAAATTATTTAGATAGATCAGTAAACTGAAACACTGGCATTACTCTTAAATAATAGTCTCTGAAGCACTGCATTTGAGTCAGTAAAAAATAGCAGTACATTTTCTGACTGTTCAAGGCTACACTTCACACCCAACCCCACAAGCCCATCCATGCAGAGGAAAGGTTGAAGCGTAGAGCTCAGAGGTGGATCTGTGAGGAACAGCTTGCAGGAGAGGGTCTTTAATCTGATAAGAACTGTTTGCAAGTCCTGCATAACAACAAACCTTGTGAAAGCAAGCAGCAAATTTGTGAAGTCACAAAACTTGCCAGAGGAAATAGCAGCACATCTCTTGATCTTTACTTTAAACTAAACTAACTTCAGAAGATTATTTTCAGACAGGAATTATGTGAGAGACAAGAAGACTTACAAAATGATAAGTTATTTTGAGGAAAAAGAAACCTTGCACACACAGACGAGAATTCCATGGTGAGACTCACATACAAGTCCCATTCCCCTTCACCTCCCAGGGAGGCAGACGAGAGGGAGAGTACAGAAACAGAGTTTTGAGGGGGAAAAAAAATTACTGTTCCTTTCACTTGGAACAAACCCAGCATCTTTTTCATTACTGTTTACTTTTTTCCCCCCTTTCATGAGATCAGCAGGGATATTATTGGAAACAGTAATTCTATAAACAAACACAGCCAGCTTGTGCATTAAAATTCTGACTATTTCCAAAGAGACACTCTAGCAGTTTTCAGAAGCAGCTACCACCAGAATCCTGCTTAATTCTACCATGGGAGAACTGAAGCTGCAAGATTGGGTTTGTAGTGGGGAGAACCAAGAACCATACAGAAATTTCTAGTTCAAGCTGACTTGGCAGTTTATAGACAGAAAAAACAGTACTACTACAAAAAAAAAAAAAAAAGCAAGCGTTTTTTTGTGTGTAGTCAAGCCATAGCAGAATTCTGTGCAGAAACTTGATAGGCAAAAACTATGTACCTGTGCTCAGCCTAAGTAGTTTCAGAACTAATTAAGGGTATGAGCACACATGTTCTAAGGAGCTCACGTACATTTGTAGCCTTTATTGCAGCTGTGTTAAGAGCAGATGAAAACATACATATTTTATGTGAGTGTATGACACACTTCAGTATAATTATAGTCACTTATAATTCTTCCTTGCCTTTTCTTCAGGTAGCATATAAATTAGGATAATCCTGTAAACTCCTCCTATTCAGGTCTAACATTCTGTTCTGTAACCTGGTTCTCATGGCAGCCCCATTATATCTGTGAAGGTGCTAGTTGATACTTCTACCTTAAAACAGATGGAGTAACTCCAGAATGATTTATTATTCCCACCCAATTATGAAAGAGTAAAACACTAAAGCTCAATGTAAGTAGATTATACCATGAAGACATTCTTCATCAATCTTTAAACACCCCCTAACAAAAATAAGTTCTGCAGTTTTTGAATTAGATGCATTTCAGCAATGACATGAATTCTAGGCCTCCAGATTATTATTTTTGATTCATTCACTAGTTATTTTTCATCATCAAGGGCTTTAGAACAAGGAGAAATCTTACTTTGTAAGCTCACCATTAATGTCACTATTTTTTGGGAACCGAAGAAGTGGATGAAAAGATAAGCCACTATAGAAATCATAAGACAAGTTTTTCCATCACTCCTTTATAAGCACCAGTTCCAAAGTACACAGTCCTGCCCTACTACTGGGGAGGCTGGAGCCTTAAGAAACAAGTTTATAAATTGCCACAGATGGATCAAGCACAAGCTCAGCTGCTTAAAGCCTACCTTAACAGGTCAACCCCTCAAAAATAATTAAAAACAAAACCAAATAAAAAAGGAAGACTACTACTTACTATAAAGCACAGTGCTTGCCAAGCCAAGCACTGCCATACTAAGCACACAGACATCGCTTTAGCGCTACCAGCTTGCACGAAGAGCCCTCAAGCAAAGAAAGCCCACAGACGCTCGCTCAGCCCAGTCCCCACGAGGGAAAAGCCGGGGGAAGCGCTCCCCGCCGGCCGCCCGGGGTTACCTGCGGCCTCCTGCGCCGGCCCAGCGCTCCCGTGCCCGCCTGGCCCGGCCCGGCCCGGCCCCGCTGCCCCACTGCCGAGGCACGGCTGCCGCCCGCCCTTCCCGAGCTTTCAAAGGAGGCGGGAAGCGGCGCCAGGCCAATGGCAGCGGGAGCCCGCCCGCCCCGCAGGTGCCCGCCTGGGCTCGGCACGCAGCGCCCGCCGCCGCCTCCTGCTCCGCTCCCAGCGGAGTCCAGCGTGGAGGCGGCTCGGGAGACAGCAGATGCTTCTTCCTCCAGCCACTCTCTTTCGCGTCCCCGAGACTTACAAATCCGTGATTATTGTCTCCCGTTTGCCTAACCTTGGTGCTTTACACAGTTTACATTCCTCAAAAATTGCTATATTAGCTGTTTTCATAACCACCAGCTAGGCAGAGATATTTAGCTTTTTAAACTATTTTTTCAAGGGCTTATGTGTTATTGAGAACGTCCCTGGATAGTTTCAGAGAAAAAAAAAAAAAAAAAAAAAGAAGCTTTGTGGAATTATTCTCCCTGCTAAAGAGCTTGTGGGGAAAAAAACCCAAACTGATTTAGACTACAGATTTTTTTAACAAAGCAGTAAGTTAAAAGAAACTTTTTACTTTCCCTCACTATTTCGCTTTCATAAGCAGAAAATCTGTACCTCAAAGTTATCCTATTTTTTTATTTTGGATATATTGTGGGATCATAGAATCATAAAATCATAGAATGGTTTGGGGTTGGAAGGGACCTTAAAGATCAAGGTCCAACACCCCTGCTGTGGCCAGGGACACCTTCCACTAGACCAGGTTGCTCAAAGCCCCACCCAGGGATGGGGCATCCACAGCTTCCCTGGGCAACTTGTTCAGTGTTTTACCACCCTCACAGGGAAGAATTTTTTTCCTAACATAGCTAGGAATGGGACAGAGCAGGAGAAAGACGGGGGTGTTTTCTTGTTTGATTTTGGTAATTCTTTAAGTATTCAAACTGTATTAAATCAGACATGCCTTAGAAGCTGTGAAATAAGAGATCTTGGTTCAGTTTCTTTAAAAACTGAAGCAAAAAATTGATTTTCTGTCTAAAATACGTGCCTCTAAAATTACTGTCTCCAGCTTCAGAGAGGTTTCTATACACCACTGTGGCATTTCAATAAATGCTTTTCTTGTATGAAGCAAGGCTTTGGCAGAAACAGGAAGAGTGGAGGTACTTCCTTGACAGAGGCTGTAGGGAGGAAATG